GAGTTGAGGACCGGCTGTACCTTCCTAGTCCAGCCTGTGCCGGTCTCTACCTGTTACTGCTTCCCTCTCTCAAAGCTTCCTGCGAGTTCTCCTGGGCCTCCCCGCTTGTCTGGGGACACTCTCCTCTCCTGGGGACCCGGCACCCCTGCAGAGAGTTAGAGAGCCAGTGATGGTTTGGGATAGACCCCTTTTCTTCCTTCTGCCTGGCTACTCTTGTTCACAGTGATCCTTCTAGAATTGCCGATGGTTTCAGCTTTGTGGCAGAGTGAGGGGATGCTAGCCTTGGTCTTGTTTCTTTCTTTCTTTTTTTAAGATCTTATTTATTTATTATTTTGCTTTTGGGGTCAGGGGTTACTCCAGGCTCTGCACTCAGGAATTAGTCCTGGCATTGCTCAGGGGACCATATGGGATGCCAGGGAACCCAGGTCAGCCACGTGCAGGGTAAATGCCCTGCCTGCTGTACTGTCACTCCAGCCTGCCAGGGAGAAGGAAGAGGTGTGAGGGCCCCCTTGCTTGATTGCTCCCTCCTCGACTTCTCTGCGTGGTTTTGGCGGTTCACATCAAAGGTGGTTCAAAGGTGCCTCAGAGCCACACCAAAAAGCCAACTTCCTTCCTCGGTATAAGAAACCAAGGCTTACCGGAAATGGTAATGCTTCAGGGGACCAGAGTGCTTCTCTCCCAGTCTGGCTTCCTTGCTCCGGAGCTCGGCTGGTGCTTGTCATGGGCACCCAGCAGTTTTGTTGATGGACTCATTGAGCCATTGTGCAGACAGCCAATGGGTGTCTTGAGCCCGTGTGGTGAATTAGGAGCTGAAGAAGGCTGGGAAGCCTAAGAGCTGCTCTGACCTGCGGTTCCCAGCTGTAAGACACAGAGTCGAGTGCAGATGACACAGCTCGAGGTTTAGCCTTGGGGTGGCCGGTGACAAGGGGGGCTGTTTTGAGAGCAGGAAGTGCTGAGCCAGAGGAACCAAAGATGCAGATGCTTGAGTGTGAGTTCTGGGGAGGTCACAGTCCCATGCGTCCTCCCTGAATTTGGGGGCACATTTGAGGGGTGCGAGGGAGGATAGGGCCTGGCTTCTTTCTCCATGCACTCTCGGTCTTTGGGGATAAGCCGTGTCCCATCCCCTGGCAGGAGGCTGGGGTGCGGGAAGAGGAAATGGGTGACAGGACTCGTGGTTCTTATGTAGGTTTTTTTTTTTTTTTTCACTGCAGCTGATATTGCAGCTACGGTAACGTTCCTATTTCCACATGCCTTGATCCTTTGATAAAGATGCTCAAGTTCTCTTGTTCTGCGCAGGCCTGTGGGCTGCAGATAAAGGGCCTCATGTGCTCTCTTGGCCCTGGAGGTCCCTGAGGCCCCAGTGACGAAAGTGCTGGGCCGTCTCAGAAGGGGGGTGGCCCTGGGATTTTAGTCCTTGTGTCACAGGGCCCTCATGTAACTTGTGACGAGGGTTTCTCCTGGGAATTTTCTGAGCTAGGTTCAATTTTGGTTCCTTTACTTATTTTTTTTTTTAAATTGAAGTTATTTATTGATTTTTCCACTTCTGGGAACCCTTGATATACTGGAAACACCCTGCATGGTGATCTTGAAGCCTACTTTCCATTTTTGATCGTGACCTTCTGCTTGGTTAGTGAGCTGTGATCTGTCTATTTCTTTTCTTTTTATTTTTGGGTCACACCCAGCATTGCTCAGGGGTTACTTCTGACCCTGCACTAGCGGTGCTTGGGGGACCATATGAGATGCTGGTGATTGAACTGGGTCAGCTGCATGCAAGGCAAACGCCCTCCCCTCTGTACTATCACTCCGGCCCCTCACTCTGCCTATTTTTGCCTGAAAGAATTTGGTGATAGAAGCTGCCAGTTGCTTTCGAGTGTCAGATCCCAGTATCTCTCCCCCTCTCCTTCCCTCTGTCAAGGTGGGTCCAGCTTAAACTTACAGAGAAAGCTGGCCGATTGCTCTACCGAATTTTTTGCTTTGCTCACAGGACTTTAAAATAGTCTCTTAAGCCTCACAAAAACGCATAGAAAACATTGTTCTTCCTGTTTTGGTTGGGGTTCAGACGTGTTGGGCCGTTTGTTTAAAACTCAGTGCCAAGTGTATGACAGCGCTCGTTCTGGAACTCGAGTCATTCCGAGGCTTTGCCTTTGGTGTGTGAGAACGCTCTGTGCCTTACTGGAAGTTGCCTTGGCCAGAGGTGAGCTCCCGGTCTGCATGCACACCCTCCTTGGGTAGCTGCTGCCGCCGCCATAGTGGGAAGAGAGTTGGCTGAGGTCTCTCAGCCTCTGGGGGCAAGCGCTGGGCAGTGGAGCTTGCTTGTGAGGTTCCTGAGGATGTGGCTTTGCCCAGCTTGAAGGGAAGGGGACCAGACTGGTCAGCAGAGACTGCCTAGAGGCGGGGGGCGGGGGGTTCCTCTGGAGGCGGGAATTCCAGGGGGCTCAGGAATATAGGTCCTGAGACCCGGTGCCTTCCTCCCTGCTGCAGGAACCCCACATTTCCAGAACTACCCTAAGCCTGTTGGCATGGGTTATCTTGCTTCAGCAGGGCCCAAGGGCCACCAAACTTTAGATATGACTGTGGAAAGAAATCCTAGCCACTAGCCACCAGTGAAATCTAGTCATTTGTTCAGCCCAAGACCACAGTTTCTTTCTTTTTTTCCCCTTCCTTTTTGGATGCACAGGGGTTACTCCTGGCTCTGCACTCAGGAATTACTCCTGGAGGTGCTCAGGGGACCATATGGGACACTGGGAATTGAACCCGGGTTGGCCCCGTATAAGGCAAACGCCCTCCCCACTGTGCTATCGCTCCAGCCCCAGCCAGGACCACAGTTTCTGTAGCATGGTAGGTGGGCAGTATGCATTGGAATTAATTGGTGATGAGTACAGTGCCCATCCCCCCCACTTTTTTTTTGGTTTGGGGCCACGCTTATTTGGTTTGGTGCTCAGTGCTTATTTCTAGCTCTGCATTCAGGGATCACTCTTGGTGACCTACGGGGACCATAAAGGGGTTCTGGGATTGAATCCAAGTCAGCACGTGCAAGGCAAACTCCCTTCCTGTTGCACTATTGCTCCGGCCCCCAGTGCTCCATTATAATGATAAAGGGACAAAAGCTGATTCTGGCTAAATGAGTGAAAAACAAGAATGCTGCTCAGTTCATTGAAAGAATCTGGGACACAATCTACTGAACCTGTTCTAAGTCAAGGAAAGACTGAAGGGAAGGTTCCTCTAAGCATCACAGCTGTTGATTCAACTCCATTCAGGTCACAGTCCAGATATCCTGGGGGTGCTTGGGTGGGGATCTATACACCGCCCCCGCCCTCCCCCCTAGACTCCTGCAGGCAAGGTGCAAGGAAGGGGTTCTGGGCAGACACACAACCCCCTCATTTCAAACGTAAGAGCAACATCAGCGCTGGACCTTTGGGAATTTTAGTGGGGAAGACCTTTCAGTAAATTAACCAGGTAATCAATCAAATAACAGAATCACTATCCGGCTGTGATTGTTGAGTGAAAGGCTTGCACAAAACACACTCCAAGGACTTGAATTTGGCCAGTGAGGGGGACAATCTGGTATGATGGACGCTGCGGGTGATTGGCACCGTGTCAGAGGCCAAATCGAATTTTGCAAGAGGGCACATGTATTTTCAGAAGTTCTTGGGTGACAGTTCAGCGGCAGGGAAGAAGGGCCACGTGCACGAGTCATGGGCGATCCGGACACCTTCTTTAAGGGTGCTTGAGAGTACAAGGCATGTGGGAACGGGTCATGGTCCTTGGTTCATGTACCCCGTTAAGCTTTGGGGACGTGGATAGTAGGTGGTGTTGGTGACGTGCGAGCACAGGTGCAAGTTTTAGGAAGATCTTGGGGCGTCAGTGGGGGATGATTCCAGGCAAGTCAGAGAAATCAGGGGTATGGGAGGCAGTCAAGATAGATTTCTCAGATGACCGGAGAGCTCCCCAGGTTGCTGGAGGTTTCCTGGTCACTTCATCTGCTACAGCAGAGACCCCAGGGACTCATGGTAGTTGCGGAGGGCCATGAGGACTTCAATGCCTTTGGAGCCAGGAGTGTTGGAGATGGACAAGTCCTGGCCCGTCCACACTGCGCACGCCCACATGAATTTAGGGCAGGGCAGTAGAGGCCAGACCCTCTGCTGAGGGCGAAATCGAAGCGTTTCCTTGACAAGGCATTTTGTGTGTGTGTGTGTGTGTGTGTGTGTGTGTGTGTGTGTGTATGTATAGGAAGTTGAATGAGATTAAGAAGGCTGGAGTCCTGGGGGCAGGCGGTATTTATTAGATGCTGAGGGCCAGCGCTGGGGGAAAGACTTCCTTTTCCTTATAAACATGAGCTCCATGACGGGCAAGACACACAGCGTGTTGTTTCCTCTATACTACGTAGTTTCTGAAAACAGGAAATCTTCTGCTCCTGTTGTGTGGATTTGAAGTTTGAGCATTCTTTGGTGGGGTTGGAGCTAGAAACGGCTTTAGCATATACCCCCACCCTGGTCAGTGGATCACGCTGGTGAACAGGGCATAGAAATGGGTTAGGAACGCGGGGTCCCAATCTAAAGACCAGTGGGAAACTGCTGTAGCTTAGGTCACGGTTACAGCCACTGACCTAAATCTTGCATGTAGAGTCACTTAGAGTATGCCAGGCAATGGGCAAAAAAAAAAAAAGCATTTATCATTACCGTCACATCATTTTGTGGGTAACCCTAGGAAGTGTGAGTTGTGTTATTATCACAGCCTTTGGGCACAGGGAGACTAGTAATATGCCAGTCCCTGTCATCCCGGCCACCTTCCCCCCTCTAAATAAATCCCTCAGCAGAGGGGCGGGGGTGCGCACGACCTAAGTCCAGACTGCGTGATGGTCAGAGTTGGCTATATCACTGGGGTATCCTCAGTTCTCGACGTTGGCCTCTCGCATCGCCCCGTGCAACCCCAGAGCCTCCCCCCTGTGCCCCTGGTCCCCTCTGCCCACTTTGTCTCACCCACTTTCTCGTTTTTCCCAGAAGCAGCTGACACAGGATGACGATTCCGTGGATGTGGAGATCGCGATCGACAATACGGCTTTCATGGATGAGTTCTTCGCCGAGGTAGGCGTTCTTCAGTATGTTTTGTTTTGTTTTGTTTTGTTTTTTTTCTCTGCGTGCACACAAGGAAACACAGGTTCCTTAGCAAAGACTAAGAGACCCTGGGCACTCTATCTGGGATCGGAAGTTTGCTGGCCCCAAAGACTAGGTGAGACCATGGGGAGATTCTCTTTAACTCTGGAGGTTTGGGGTTTTGATCCCTAGAGCAAGTCAGGGCAAGGTAAGTGATCTGTAATTATAGATGTGCTTTTTAGAGTCTTCTCCTTCTTGAGCACTTTGGGTTTCTTGAATGTTTGCTTTCCTTGACCCCTTTTCACCTGAGAAATTTGTACATGACCTTATAAAACAGGTATGAAAATCAGTGCCGGAGACATAGCACAGGGGAGAAGGTGCTTGACTTTATCCAGGTCATGCCACTGCATGTGACCCTCTGAACCCTACCAGGAGTGATCCCTGAGCACAGAGCCAGGAGTAAGCCCTGAACACTCCTGGGTGTGGCCCAGCCCATTTCCCAGAAGAAAATAAAAATTCAGACGAGTATGAAAATCAAACATTTACTGATTATAAATCACATATTTACTTTAAAATACTGGCTGGGGAGGTAGCTCAGCATGCTAGCTGGAATTCCCATTTTGCATGAGAACAATCCGGCTTTGATCCCCAGCACTGCATGGTCCCCTGAGTACTGTGGGAATGACCCCCAAAACCACTGAGGATGACCAGCCCAAAGAACAAAAAAAGCAAAGTAAATATTTTTCTGCTCCCCCCTCTTCCCCCGTCCGCCCCCATTCAGTTACCCATACTGTAAGAAACAAGGTACCACATGGCAGGATGGTTACCTGAGTTATGTAACTGAAATGCAGGAACAACTATGGGGTTCTAGCTGAAGTGTTGCTTTATTTCAGGCATGGGATTCAATGAATCTAATTCGTTGTTTTCAAAAATTAAGTCCTTTTGACAATTCTTTTTTAAAACTTTTTGAGTCACACCTGGCAGTGCTCAGGGGTTACTTCCTGGCTCCGCTCTCAAGAATTATTTCTGGTATTCAGGGGATCGTATGGGATGCCGAAGATGGAACCCACGTAATAATTCATCAATAGGGCTGCCCTTTTTTTTTTCTGGCTTTTTGGGTCACACCTGGTGATTCATAGGGGTTACTCCTGGCTCATGAACTCAGGAATTACTCCTGGAGGTGCTTGGGGGGGACCATATGGGATGCTGGGAATCGAACCCGGATCGGCCGCATGCAATGCAAACGCCCTACCTGCTGTACTATCGCTCCAGCCCCTGCCTTTTTTCTTAATACTTCATGAGTGCATTTCTGTCATGTTGGGAAGAGCAAATGCTACTTAGGGTGGAGCAGGGCCACCGTGGGCAGCTTGGCAAACGCATCGTGGTCCTCGAGAGGAGGAAATGCCCTGATCTGCCACTCACTGTGGGATCCCTTGGCACCTTCCATAACTTTTACACATCTTAGTGGGGTTATCTGTGGGACGGAGAGAAAAATATTCAGCTCACCGATTTGTGGGGGATTAAAGGAGCTAATACTCCGGAAGTGCTTTACCGTGGGCTTAGCATGGCAGCTCCTGTGTGTCTTTCTTTTTTTTTTTCCAAGGGCTTGCCATCCCTTTTTATTTTATTTTATTTTATTTATTTTTTTAAATTTTTATTAGTGAGACACCATGAGGTACAGTTGTAGACTTACAGATTTTTGTGCTTGGGTTTCAATTATACAATGATCAAATACCCATCCCTCCACCATTTCCACCCATTTCCCACCACCACGGGTTCCAGTATCCCTCCCACCACCCATTCCCCCATCCCACCCTGCCTCTGTGGCAGGGCATTCCCTTTTGTTCTCTCTCTCTCCTTTTGGGTGTTGTGGTTTGCAAAAGAGGCATTGAGAGGCAATCATGTTTGGTCTATAGTCTACTTTCAGCATGCTTCTCCCATCCTGGGAGGATCCTCCCAACATCCTTTATTTGGTGCTCCCTTCTCTATCTGAGCTCCCTTTTCCCCTAGCATGTGTGGCTGGCCTCTAAGCCATGGAGCAGAATTTCTGGTAATAATCTCGGCCACTCTTGGGTGTTAGTCTCCTATTTTGTTACTTTATGTTCCCCAGATAAATGCAATCTTTCTATGTCTATCCCTCTTTTTCTGACTCATTTCACTTAACATGATACTTTCCATGTAGTACCACTTGTATGTAAATTTCATGACTTCATCTTTTCTAACAGCTACATAGTACTCCATTGTGTAAATATACCGAAGTTTCTTTAACCAGTCACCTGTGTGTCTTTCTTACCCAAGAGAGTGGAGAAAAGTGAGCATTGGCCAGAGCAGCGGCGGGATAGTCCTGGAGAAGGAGATCCTGTGGGTTCTGTGCCCGCAGAACCCAGTCTTCAGCTCTAGCTCAGCACATAGCCAGGAGTGGGACTTTGGAAAAGTCACTCGACACTTTTTGTTGTTGTTGTATAATTTTTTAAATTTTAATGAATCACTGTGAGATAGAGTTAGACTTAAAAACTTGCATGATTACATTTTGGTTGTGCAATGTTCAAGTACCCATCCCTCTACCTGTGCCCGTTCTCCATCACCAATGTTTACAGTGTCCCTCCCGCCTCCCCCCCCCCACCCCTTCTCTGGCAGGCACATTCTTTCTCTCCCTCTCCTTCTGGGTTGTTATGGTTTGCAGTCCAGGTACTGAGCGACCATCATGTTTGGTCCATAGTCTACTTTCAGCACGCATCTACCATCACGAGCAAGCCCTCCAACCATCATTTACTTGGTGGTCCCTTCTCTTTCCCAGCTCCCTTTTCCCCCAGCACATGAAATCAACTTCCAAGCTGTGGCGTGATATTCCTGGCCCTTATCTCTACTATCCTTAGGTGTTCACTTGATCACCTGACATCCCATTACTCATTGATTTGCTTGAGCGGGTGCCAGTAACATCTCCATTCATCCCTGTTGCGTGCTAGTGTAGCCCAATGGTGTCTGCTCATTCTAGGAACACGAACAGTTCAAACTGATCATTTAGGGTCTTGATGAAGAAGTTTCACCATCTTGTAGGTGGGCGGCCACGTGGTCTTTTGATGTTCCTTAGAATCCAGTTGGTAATGGCTCTAGTCCAGCGGTCGTCTCCATATCTCATTATGTGTCCAGCCCATCTGATTTTTGATGCCTTGGCAAACGAGACGGCGTCCCTGATTCTTGGCCATCGACGGAGGTCGGAACTCCGGATTCTTTCTCTCATTTGAGTGAAGTGTGATACTCCAAGCATAGCTCTTTCGATTCCTCTTTGGGAGACCTTAGGTGTTAGTAGTCACTTATTATGTGACTTTAGATTCCACAAATGAGTGCAGTCATTCTATGTCTGTCCCTCTCTTTCTGACTCCAGTTCAAAAGGCAAGTGAGTCCAAAGAGCCAGATGGGCTGGACACGTAATGAGATTTGGAGACGACCGCTGGATTAGAGCCATTACCGACTGGATTCCAAAGGACATGATTTTACTTAGCATGATACTCTCCATGTTGATCCACCTGTATGCAGATTTCATCTTTTCTAACAGCTGCATAGTATTCCATTGTGTAGATATACCAAAGTTTCTTTAACCAGTCATCTGTTCTCAGGCATTTGGCTTTTTTCCCCAGATTCTGGCTATTGTAAACAGTGCTGCAATAAACATACAAGTGTAGATTTGACACTCTTAAACTCATTTTCTCCGAAGCCAGGATAAGGCCCTTCCCTGCTGGTTACTCTGGGTGCAAAATGAAAAGCCTGAGGCTGCGCTCAGCACCGGGTCCAGCAGAGAGAGTTTGTATGTCTTTCAAGGAACTTTCAGTTCTTGTCACTGTTGTGTTCCTCCGGGTATTTGTAAATACACTGACACACAGTTGATTCCTCCGGAAGGCGCCTGAAAATGTACATTTCCATGCAAAATACCTTCCCGAGGGTGGGGGTCTGGGGACTCAAGGGTGTCCCCTCTGTATTTGACTGAGGGAGCACAGTACCACAGGGAGATTTCTTGGGAAAACGCTCTTTGGACTCACTTGCCTTTTGAACTGGCTCCAGGACACAGGTCACCTGGGCTGTTTGCAGAGGACTTGGCAACGTCCATCACCGCTGGCCAGGAGGCTGGTCCAAGGTGTGGGTGAAGTCACAGGACGAGGATGTTCCCAGAGCGTGCTTGGTGCCGTAAAACTCCACCAGTGCCTTCCGCTTTTCTGCCGGGGAACAGCATTGGCCGTTAGGTATTTCAGGCCTCGTGGCTGATTATGCCAGAGCCCTGTGAGTGATAAACCTCCGATTTCATCTCACGGGCGCGTGTGTGTGTTTCTTCTGGTCTGTTTGCTCACTTGGCAAAGAATAGCGTTTCAGAGGAAATCAGTCATTCTAGCAGAGAAGGTAGAAGCAGGAAGAGCTTCTTGGGGCTGTATTCATTCGTCTAGTCCGCAGAATCCACGCCTTTTGCCGTCTTTCAGACTTGGGCTGTGGATGCAGCTTCCACCACAGCAGGTCCTTCTGTCTGCCTCCATATTTGCTGAAAGACTTAAAAAAAGTCATAATAGACATGTCTACCAGGTCATTTTCCCCCCCCCCCCCCCCCCGCCCCAAAAGGAATCACTGCATTCTACCTACAGGAGGGGGGAGACTTTGAGGGGAGTTAGACATTTCCCATCATAGTCAACAGAGCTTCATTTTGGGGAGGATCAGAGAGTCACACTTGGCAGTACTCAGGGGATACTCCCAGATCAGTGCTCGGGAGTCACTCTCGGCTGGGGATCGAATCCCGGGGCCCCCGCAGGCACTCGTACCCACTGACTAATCTCTCTGGCCCCAGAATGACTTCTTTACACACTCAAGCCTGTGTGGTAGGACCCTGGAATTGTTCAGGTGTAGGGGATTTTTAGAAAGTTCTTCCAGATTCTAGCCTTCTCGGTCTCTACCATCACTGCTGGCTCTCTCTTCTGTCCTCATCAACCAGACCATCTCAGGGTCTGTTT